GGCAGCTCTCCAGCCACTCCTCCCCAAGCCTGGAGCGTTGCGTGGGGTTGGTGTGACCCAAGGGCAGGACCTGGCTCTTGTGCTTGTTGAACCTCACAGAGTTGGCCTCGGCCAATTGATCCAGCCTGTCCAGATCCCTCTGCAGAGCCTTCCTACCCTCAAGCAGATCGACACTCCCACCAAGCTTGGTGTCATCACCTCTTTTCCTCAGTGAAGCTGGGATGAGGCAGGATAATCTTGGCAAGAAGCTGTGCAACCTCCTCCTGCTGTAAAATTCCCCAGTGATGCCAGCTGGGCTTGCCGCTCCTCCTTACCCTCATCAGGAGCCACAGAGAAGCCATCACAGGTTTTCCCCCATTCTTGGAAAGGAATGGGAAAGCCAAAAGCTTAATTCTTGTCGACTTTAAATTCCTTTACCCCTTGGCAAGATAGCAATCTAGTATTTCAGCGGGTCCTAGATAACTTAAGATGACTTGTGCAAATTTCTGCAGAGTCATGTATTTTTAAGCACATCTTAACTCTCTCTCAGGCAAAGAACAGCCCATAAGAATGAGAAGTTCAATGCGGACATTTCCTAGATTGCATGACAGATTTTTTCTAAGCTGTTCTCAAGCAGAACTCTCTGCTTCTGGGTTCTCTGTGCAGCTAGAACTGCAGCTGGATGACGAGTTTAAACCCCTACAGCAAAGCTCAACGTATTACCACACAGAAACAGTGTCCAGTGAGGCTGCTGCAGGGATTTTCTCATGCATGGCCGCACCATGCACATCTCGAGGTATGTCAGGGCTGCTGCTGGAGGGTGAGTTTTACAGAATTTCGCTTGATGGGCACTAACTCTTGCTGCTGATGAGGACAAGAGAAGCTGCTCAATAATAGTTAAAACTGCAGCCACAACAGTCTGTTTTTAGTGCTTGAAAAAGTCATGCTCCTTCCCTTCTTACTTAACATTTCGGAGCAGAGTTGTACTGGAGCACTTTGCCAAAGTTCAGTTCTGTGAGGTAAATTGAGTGCTCTGGCACTGGAAGGTCTCAGTGAAGAACTGGAGTGTTTGCCCTCCAACAGCCCCTGCTGTGTGACCCTTTCCCAAGGAAAGGAAAGAGCTTATCCATGCAGCCATGTAACAGCATAGGTATTGCAAGCTGCACTGTGACGGGAAAGCAGAAATGGC